TCAGCTGTCCATGGGAACTGTTGAGCTGGGGGCTGAATCAATACTAATGGGAACCTGCGTATCTGTAGCTCTGCGCTGGATTTACTTGAAGCAGGTGCATACCCACCACTGATACACTTCTGGTTAGGCACAGCCTGGAGAAAAGTTGCCTTTTAAATGCGGAGCAGGGCTCCTGGCCACCCACAAAGAAAGAGAAGGCCTGATGCAGTGGGAGATCTCTTATCTCTGGTGATCTCATCTGCTTCCAGGCAGTAGAGCTGTGATCTAAGCAGGTGATGACTCGTTCCAAAATCTCTTTTGAGAGCTGTATTCCATCTCTGGATATCTCCTTTGTTGTCTTAATGAGACGACTTCTACCGTAAGAGTGTGGGGGAGAGCTGATGCAGAAGAGCCCCCAAAAAGTGATTAACTATAAATAATAACTAAACACCAGCAGTTTACTATTCATACAGTTGCACTTCTACCATTGTTCTTTATATAAAATCAATCAAATCAAGTACCTCTTCACTTTGTTTGGGAACTGCAGGAAGTACTTCCAGATTACAGAAAAGATAATTTTCACTCTGTGCCTTTTTATTTGGGACAGGAAAGGCGACACTTATTCTCAGCTCTCACACAAGAAAAGAATCTGAACTGCAAATGCAGCCCAAATGTGGGCTTGGCAACGTTGGTCTGTCCTTCCAAGACAGGTTCATTACATTGGTTCTGTCTGCTTATGGATGGGGATGTGGAAACGCTGGGATGGGGTAAATACTGGGATAAGGGTACCTAATGCATATCGAGAGCTTTGCTTCAAGGCCTGCCTGCTGGTGAGTTTGAGGAGGCATACTATCAGAAAGTATCTGGTAGCCAAAGCCTGCCATCAGGAGGTCCCAGGTGATGCTCCAGTTCATTGTTTAGTCTGGCCTGTGGGAAAACTCTTGCACCACTTGGGCAATACAAATACAGCACCTGGGACTTGCACAAAGCAAGCAAGTGAATTAGTTGGATCCCTCTGGAAAGGCTCTTATGTTTGTACACCCTGCTTGGAAGTGGATGTCTGTGAAGGTGGTCTTAATGGTGACTCTTCTCTCCAGCTAGAAGGTGATTATCTTAGGAAGTGCAGCGTATTCCATCAAATAACCTGGAGCTGGAAGTAGCTGAAATTGCTTTTCTGTCTCTCCTCTGCAGCTAGACAAAAGAACAAAACCCTTCTCTCAGCCAGCTGTCTTCTAGATTTTTCACCTTTTACTTCAGAAAAGTAAGCCTTTCAAGGAATAACCAGTTAATACAGGGCCTTGTCAGTCAGGTCATGTCAGTTTTTGTCAACTACTTAATGTATATCCACTTAGAGCTGTATTCCCTGAAGAGCATATTGCATCCACTGCTTACATTGGGAAATTCCCAAACCTGATATCTAATGGGAATTATTATTCCACCCTTGTCTCTGTGCTGTAGCTACCTTGTGACAGCCAGAACTTCTCCTTTCCGTGCTCTCAGTTGGTTACTAAGCGTGCAAACCACTTCTGTGGTCAGAAATATGCTCTATTCGTTGCTTAAAACTGCACCTTTTTGAGATGTGAAGAGCAGTCTCTGCTTCTTAGTGTCCTGTTTCATGAGCCTTATAAATGGGAGAGTGCAACTGAGCATCTGTGTTATTTGTGTCATTATTAGACATGTTGACATCCCAAGGTTATGCAATCCAGCGGGCATCCCTACTTGAAAAAAAGTTGTTAGTGGGCATACAAACCATATATGAACTTAGGGTGTAATCCTTTGCTGTGGCCAACATAAGGAAAAGCAGGCTGAGAACTGGGCAGCCTTGACTCCACTTGGGTCCCTGCATTGTGAGTAGCTCTAGGTCTTCAGGGAGAGCAACTGTAGGGGCTGTGAATTCTTACTCTCCAATTCTGAGCTGTCCTACTCTTGCACTTAGTGAAACTTTGTCATTTACATTAATGCTGCTTACACTATGGTGTGCTTATCTAAAGTTAATGAGGATTCCTACTGAATCAGATAATTGGTCTATCCAAGCAGTTTCCTACCTCTGGTAAAGGGCTGATACCTGCTGAGCTGGGAAAGCACAGAATTGTATAAGGTAACCTGTGAACTGAACTGTGCTTAATATGTGGGAGAGTAAGTTCCTTCCTGACCTCTTGAGATGATCAGTATATGCCTTGAAGCATGAGAGTTGATTGCCCTCATATAAGCTTGCATAACTACAAACCTTACTGGATAAATAATTACCTTGCCATTTAAAGAGAGAAAAATCAGTTGCAGAATGTGACTCAGTGCCTTTTGTATCAGACTGTTCCAAGAAGTATAATAGTCTCTTAATTGAAGTCCTTATACCTTGATTTTAAAACGCATTTCATTGGCATTGATATCAAAGAAATGTTAATGCTCCTATTTCTAATCTTTCTTGAGATGTAGTATGTGTGATTTTAATGAAAATCACTGTGCATGACATTCTTATAATATCTATTTTTTAAAAAAAGAAAAAAAGCAATATATTTTAAATGAATCCAAGAACACCATGTAGACTGTGTGTTTAATACCAAAAACATTTTCTTGTGTTGCTATATTGATGTGTGACATGAATTTTGAATAAAATTTTGCATCTTGGTTTATCTTGGGACTCTTCTTTGGCTAGATGGTTTTCCTTAGAACTTTCACATGTCTGCTTATGTGACTAATCTAATTGAAAATGATTTGGGGTACAAAAAAAATACTGCACTTTTGTTTCTCTTTGGTTTTATTTGTTTGATTCTTGATTCTCGTAAGTACAAATGAGTTAAGAATGGAGTCCATAAGCTGGAAGTGGAAGCATTTGCTTCATGTAGCATAGGGTGCTTTGAGTTGGCTTCTGTCTGTTTGCTTTTTTTTCGGTGTTCTGTAGAAGCCAAACTAATGTTAATGAGGTCACTGCTGGTAGCATAGAGAGCACAGTTAGGCCTGTTACTGACCTCCTTGGAGAATCTTGTTTTGTACCAACAGACTGAAAAAGGGTATAGAATTGTGAGCTCTCTAAGTAAAACCTGCCCTGAACTTAAATAGTCAAAAGCAATCTCTTTTGGGAAGTGCCTGATTTGGTACACAGTTTCACTATGGAGGCTGTTGTACACTATGTACACTATGACTTCCTCACTTGCATATCATGCAGGCTTTGCCCTAAGAGTATACTTGGGTGCATTAACTTCAGCTGAAGCTCAGGCTGGGTTCATAAACTTGTAAAATAGAAATATTAATTCTAGTCCTAAATCCAGAGGCCTTTTGAGTTAAGAATGGTGTCCATCTAACTTGAATTTTATGGCTAGCCTCAACTTCATAATTGGTGAGCTGAAACCTCTGATCTGAATCGTCCTCTTCACTTTCAAAAGTTGGGCCTGAACTTCATGGCTTGGTTTCACTTCCCCCTGGGAGTTGATGCTGTCATTAATATTAATTTGTGAAGCTGCTTGTGCTTTCTATTTCCTTGAGTCTATGAAGTTTGCTGGATCTTGTCCTGCATCTTCACTGCCGAAGGACAGTTCACACCCTTCAGTACCTCCTGTAATTGTGTAATTAGCTAACATTTTTTCATGGCCTTAGATATTCTAGCCTGTTAGCATAGATGTTTCTCCACCCAACATCACAAGCTTTGGAAGTGCAGGAAGTTGCAGACAGTGTAATTGTATGAGACTTGACCTTGAGTGCTGAAGGTTTTAATAAATTACCAGGAATAGAGCCTTTTCTTTCCTTTAGAGCCTAAGAGCCTTTTCTTTCCTTTACACTTATTGTAAGCAGTAACTATTCCCTTTGCATAGAAGGAAAGCCAGTTCCCAGGAATTGGTGTGTAGCCAGTTATACCCAGACAGACAAGTTTCCCGATGGGAAATAAGAGGGAATGTGCCCTTTCACATGCACTGTGGCTGAGTGAGCACCGATTTCCAGCGGGCTTGTGAGGGTATGTCATGTTTGGGAAGTGTGCCTGCTTCCTGAGTGTCTTTGCCCAGTCTTGCAAATGCCCTTGGTGTGCAAAGAGAGAACCTGCTCTTATGGCATGGCAGCCCTCTGCCAAGTGTGCTGGTGGGCCCACTTTAATGATAATGTCCTGCATATTCCAGCTAAGACCCTGCTGAGGATGGGCTGCCACAGCCGTAACCCAAGCTGGAAGCTGGGCTGCTGTTCTTAAGCAGCCCCAGGGATTGCTTATGAGGTGGGATTGCAGCCCTGTTGGGGCTGGGGAGGGAGGAGCTTGCAAGCAAGCCTCTGGCCCTGTTCATGGGTATGCTGGATGGAGTCTGGGGCTGTCTGGGCTTGAGAGAGGTCAGCACTGTTGTTGAATGGTTGCAGGAATCTGATACTCTCCACAAGCAGCCTGCAGGGTCTGGATGCCAAGTTCTCTTTAACACCAACAAAAGCTGCGTCTCAGCATCTTGTTCGCTGAGGTGTGGGGAGTCTGTCCTGAGCAAAGAGCCTCTGCTTTTTGTATATACACGTGGTAATAGTTTGATTATGTGAACAACTGTGATTTTTGGAGGGAAAAAAGGTGATAAATGCTTCCTGCTCTGAAAATTGTCTGAAATCATATTTTAGGAATAGATAAGATGGCATGAGATAGCTTTCTCAGTTCTTTTTCTTTTGAAAAAGCATTTGACCACAGAGAGCTTGGCATGGAAATATATTTTTTTTTCCAAGCTCTAGCAACTGTTAGCTGGCTTTGTATATGTTCTCTTCAACAGTAAAAGCTATGTGGAAATGTTTTCCTTAAAGAAAAAATCAGAACCAAAAGCAAAGCTTATTTTTTCTTCAGTATTTCCCTATTTTGTACCTTGAATCCCCAGAACCTCTGACAAATTTCTTAGTTCTTGTTCTCCAATGATATTTAGCTACGGCTCTCCCATGCTGTTGGTAATTTCACTAGCAGTAGCTCAGCACTGCCTCAAACAGAAAAATGTATTCCCTTGGATGTGCACTCTTGATCAAATGCTGTGATTCCTATCGCAATACATCTATCGCAATACATCTTTGTTTTGCAGGACCTCCATTCAGTCACAGTCATCCTATGGCTCCAACTCACCACCTCTCAGCAAGATGAATAGCATGAACAAGCTGCCCTCTGTCAGCCAGCTCATAAACCCCCAGCAGCGCAACGCACTGACCCCAACCACCATCCCCGACGGCATGGGAACAAACAGTAAGAGACCCTTCCTGCTTTCTCCTGCTCTCTGCATGTTCCCTGCTAATTTGGGAAAGGAGGCTCAGTATTTCTGAGGTGCTGTTGTGCCACAGGGCGAATCACCTGCCTTTTCCAGGCCTTCAGCATCCTGCTCTGAGTCTCACAGGGATGAGCTTCTTCTCAATGCAAATCTTGCTGGCTGCACTGCTGTCTGTCTTTCAAGGCTTGTTTCATCTTCCTTTCCCAGCAGAGAAATCGGAAATGTTGGCAAACTTTTTCCCTCTCTTCAATTAAGGTACTTCTTAGTTTCAGACCAAATATCTGCAGCTCGCAGCTCTATATCCTGCTTCCTCCTGGCTGCTGAAGAGTGCTCAGCAGCCCTGTAAATCCAGGATGACAGACACGGTTCTGGGGTCTAAAAGATGCTTTTTTTTTTTTTGTATTTCGAAAGTGCTGGGCTCTTGCCCACACCTGTTGCTGATCCCCCTTTGGGTGCTCAGTGTCTCTGGAAACAAAGCTGTTTGGCTTCTGTATTGGGTTACTCTGCTGGCTCAGTTCCGCTTCTTTCCTGCAGCAGAGAAAGATGAGATGCCCACAGCTCACTGAGGTTTGTTACTGAGCCGGTTTGCAATGGAAGGTGATGCAGAGGCAATGCTGTCAGCAGTAGCTTCATTACGAGGAGAGCAGCAGCAGAACTGTATGTCATCTGGCCTTTGTACAGTCACCGAGGCCTTAAATTTCTCAGGAGCCTGCTTGCAATGGTGCAAGGCTGCTTGGGCTGTGATTGTTCTGTGTTGGGAGTGAAGCAGGGTGCAGAGATGCTTTGATAACAACGTGCTTCCTCCTTCTCTCCTCTAGTTCCCATGATGGGCACCCACATGGCCATGACCGGCGACATGAATGGCCTCAGCCCCACGCAGGCGCTGCCTCCTCCCCTCTCCATGCCTTCAACGTCCCACTGCACTCCCCCTCCTCCATACCCCACAGACTGCAGCATTGTCAGGTGAGCAGAAGCAGGCTGCGCATTTCCCACTTCTGGGGAGCAGAAGACTCGTGCTGGGAGCCTGAAGGGCCATGCTGGGTTCCTCACTCCATTCACCTGGAGCACTGGATCTGGTGGGTTTGGCAGTCCTGAGGTTGGCACCCTCTGGGCACCCAAGCCTCAAACTCCCCACCTCTGAGCAACAGAGAGAAACAGGGATTGAAGGACTGCACGAAAGCCAAGGGATGCAGCATCTGCTGGACTGGTGGAGCTGAGGGCACCCAGCACTAAGATAGAGGGTCTTGCAGATGTTTTTATTGACGCTAGTATTTTTTTCTCCTGTATACCTGTAGTAAGCTGTGACTGGGGTCAGAAATACATCCAACCTCCCTATTGATGTGGCCCCTTTGCCCTCCATTAAGTTGAACAGATTGAAAGATGCTCTCCATGGTTCTTTTTGCTTAGAGAGGAATATGCTGATGTGAATTATTTTGGGCGTGTGATGTGTCTGAACCCCAAAACAACTGCTTTGGTGACAATCTCAATCTATGTGATGTGCTGCCATGGGCTCAGCCGCCTTCTGGGTGAAGCGAGCTGGCAGAAAGGATCTTACAAGCCTTCCTGCCCCAAGATCTGGGCTGCAGCATCAACTTTTGACTACTGCAGGGTGCTGTCATGAGGGTTGTCTGCTAGGCAGCAAGCTTAAAGGACTCCCTCATTCATTTGATACGGCAGCTGTGTGGCTTGCTGGCCTGGGATGACTTGGAAAAGGTCAAGCAAAGGGTAAAAGCTTCATCTCCTGTTGCTGCAGGTTGGCTGTGTGTTTGGTTTTTCTGTGGTTTGGGCTGTTGCAGCCAGGGTGATCCTTTTTTCTCTCTCCTTCCTTCCTTCCTCCTCTGCAGCTTCTTAGCGAGGTTGGGCTGCTCATCCTGTGTGGATTATTTCACGACCCAAGGGCTGACCACCATCTATCAGATTGAGCATTACTCCATGGATGTAAGTAACTCCTCACCATTTCCTTTGTTTGCACTCTTGGCCCTGATGTAGTAACAAGTCAGAAATCCAGACTCAGTATTCTATTTTTGGTGATTTGTTGGATTTAAGGCTGTTGCACACCAGAGAAGATATACTGGCAGGTAAAAAGAGGCTGGACACAATGCCAGCACTAGTGTTGTAACTGCCTTGTCTAGCACAAAGAGAGTACTACTTCTTCCCCACTGCTGTCCTTTTTAGCCCCCAGAGCGGCCCTAGCCCACACGCCTGTTAATTCTGCAAGGCTTGGTTTCAGTTTACACCGCCCTGAAACACCTCACTCGCCTACAGACAAGTAGGCTGTCCAGAAGTGGTCTGCGTTTTTCTCTCCCTGCTCCTGTTCTCTGGCCTTGCTTTAGTGATCTTCCCTTGCCACTGGCATCTCAGCCCAGCTCTCCTTTCTCTTGCATGGCTCTTTCTGCAGGGTTGCTTCCTCCTCTTCTGCGCCACTGCTCGCTGGAGAGCTGGCCCTCCTATTTCTGCCACGAGACTTTGCAAAGCTATAATGCTTTCTAGACTGGGCTGCATGCCTTCTGCTGATGCTCTAATTAGAAAAGCTGACCCAAATTAACCAAAGCTGGTTGTTAATTTATTTTTTTTTTTCCAAAAGGCAGTATCACATTTCCCAGAGCTAGGTAGTGCTGCCCTCAGGTAACGTACCTGTAGAGAATACAGGGCCTCAAAGTCCAAATATTTCTTCAAGTTTAGGCTTCTGTCCTAAATTTTGGGTTTGTTCAAGTAATTAAGGCAGTTTCAATAGAGTCAGACCCAGAGCTTTGAATACCGGAGCCCAAACTTTAATTGTAAAATCCTTTTGCAGGCTTTGAAATAAACACTGAAGTTTTCAAAGCTGTTGAACTTCTGCAGTCCAGCATTCCCCCACCACAGACAACCAGCAGAACTCTCCATCAGTGTTTTGGAGGCCTACAGTCCAGTTAAACTTGTAGCTTTAGGTCATCATACCTTATGCATGAATGTGTCACTTCAGAACGGACCTTGGGTCATCAGTCCTTGCTGCCTCTCAGCTCCATGTGCCTGTTCAGAAGCGGTGAGCCAGCAAACAACCACCTTCAGGATTAGTGGCTTCTGTAGCGCATCGCAGCCACCACGGGTTAACCATAAGCATTTGCAGAGTGGCCCAGAGGCTGCTTCTACCGGAGTCCAGACCCTCCGGATTGCCCAGGGACTGCCCCGTTAAGCCCTGCTCCTTGCCTTGCAGGATTTGGTGAGCCTCAAGATCCCAGAGCAGTTCCGCCACGCCATCTGGAAGGGCATCCTGGACCACCGGCAGCTCCATGACTTCTCCTCTCCTCCCCACCTCCTGCGTACTCCCAGCGGTGCCTCCACCGTCAGCGTGGGCTCCAGCGAAACCCGGGGGGAGCGGGTCATCGATGCTGTCCGTTTCACTCTCCGCCAGACCATTTCCTTCCCGCCCCGCGACGAGTGGAACGACTTCAACTTCGACATGGATGCCCGGCGCAACAAACAGCAACGCATCAAGGAGGAAGGGGAGTGAGCCCCACCAACATCGCTCCACCCCGCCTCGGACGTGAACTGCTCAGCCCTTCATTTGTCTTCCTTCTGCTACTGCATCCCTGGATGGAGGGCGGCGGGAGCCTCCTTGCTCGCTCACGCTACTTATGCCCTTGATGCTGTCTAGGTCACACTCCTGGACCGCGACCTCCACCCCAGCTCTTGTGACAGAAGGAGCTGAGCGAAGGGGGACGGCGGGTGGTGTTTCCTCAAAAGGTGTCGGCCTTCGTAAGAAGGTGTCGTTCTTGTTTCGTGGTTTCTTTTTATTTTTTTTGGTGGGAAGAGGGCTTCTTTCCTTGACTTTCCAACCCTCGTACACCTTGTGAGTGTCCTGACCTGCAAGCTGTCTCTCTCTCATCCAGCAATCCCACTTTGAAAAGCCGGGATGATTAGAATAAGTTTTAAAAAACCCCATTTAAAAAAAAAAAAAAAAATAGTTCAAAAAAGAAAAGACCAAAGTCGCTAAACCCCAAACTGACAGTTCATCCCAAAAACCAAATGGGAATTGGTCTGCTGAACATTGCACTTAAACAGCCTCTTCCCACAGAGCTCAGTGCTCTGTTCGTGTGTAATATTCTCCAGCGGAGACAGCACGTGCACTTTGCTGGACAGGCCAGCGCTTACGACCGCCTGCAACCCACTTCTTCCTATTCCTTTGTGTTCTACAGGGGAAAAAAAACCAATCTGCTATCTTCTCATCTTGAATGTAGACATCCTTGCATTTCCTGGTTTGCTTATTTCAGGATATAAATACAAATACAGCTATCAGTAATTCAGACTTGTCCCCCACCCGTTGTTCACCATTCTGTACTGCTACTGACATTTAAGCTAGACAATTAGGCTTTGCAACATATGCTGCCTTGTTAGTTAGCAGAAGGATTTGCCTGCCTGTCTTCCAGTTGAACAGAGAACAAAACAGGAGCTGCACACTGATTGCAGGGCTTTGGCCACCTTAAACCCAGTCAGTCTTTCATGTAGATCGTGTTAGATTGGTTTCTTGCCAGTTAAAGGTTAGAGCTGTCCTTAGCGATGCCTGCAGTAGACTGGAGTCTGTTCTGTTGCTGGCGACTACATGATCAGCAACTGGAAGTGGAGAGTAAATAAATGTGTATTTTTTCCAACAGCCTTGGAACAAGCACCAGTTCTTTGGTACTGCTACTGCAAAAAGTCCTGTTTACATGAACTGAAATGATTTTTCTGTTTTTCTTCATTGGTTAAACAGCAGCTGTGCTCTGAGGCATTTCCTCTATGACTGCCAGTGATACTGTGGACAAGCAACTGAACAGAATACGTGTTTTCACATTTATATTGGCCAAGGTAGTGAGGCTGACGTATGGAAACAAATCTAAAGAGGCTCAACTAAGCACGGCTGCTTTCAGGTTGGCTTTTACTGCTAACAGTAAGTCTGAGGGTTGTTTGCTGGTTGGTTCTTTACTGGAGAAAGATAGAAAAAGCAGGTTTTAAATAACTTGTCCTCTTACCTTGTTACAGCCAACGAATCTGGTTAGTTCAATGCAGAGGCTTTTTTCTGGGCCCTGCTGTGTGTCTCTACACGGATGTAACACGGTTAGCTTCTTCCATCTGTCCCTTGTGCCAGGTTGCATTCAAAGACTGCCTTTTGGTAACTGTGCAAGCCTATTTTTGGATAGCTCTGAACGGTAATGCAAGATGGTTACCTTGTAAAGTGTGTATATATATTTTTTTGTATGTGTAATTTGTTTCCTACAGCATAACATGCCATTTTTTTTATTTTTTCTTGGGCTACCGGGTGTGACAGAACCACAGTAAAATGTTTTTTTGTTTTTGTTCTGTTTTTTTAATTATTATTTTTATGCAGAATGCTTACAGTATACTTTGTAACAAATGACTTGTCACTCGACAAATATATTTGTATTTTTCATACTGAGATTCCTGTGTTACTTTGCAGTTGAGAGGAAGGGGCAGGTACTGAGAGCCTGTTTTATCACTTTGTTTTGTAACACTTCAAAGAGCGGCGTCCTAGATTTCAAAGTATTTAACGTGCTCAGTGTGAAAACTTACTATGTCTTTTTTTTTTTCTTCTAGTGTGCTACAAAAGAAGCGAGTCAGCCTCCTCCTGACTCCATGCAAGAATTAATTCAGCAGGGCAGTGTTAGGTAGGGCAGTGTTAGTGTGGGTACTCTGCAAGTTCCTGGCAGGGAACCAGGTTTGTGCCCTCTGTGGTTTTGCATCTCCATTGTGTAATCCTTCGGAGCTGCCTCAGTATTGTAAAATATTGATGCAAAAAGTACCTTCGTTCTAGGAACAAGCTTCTGACTACTATAAAGGTTAATGCTGTGCCCAGAGTCTGGGCACAAAATCATCAGTATCTGCTTTTCAGTTCAGCAGTGAGATGGAGCTTTGCTGCTGCATCACTAGTGATTAAAATATATGCTGTGAAAACCTTTCTATGTACCACTATGGAGCGCACTTCTGTGTAACTGGAATCTTCAAGCGAGTTTGAACAGCTGCAGCTTTTACCTTCCCCTGTAGGGCTGTGATTTTATTGTTGTTTTGTTGTTGTTGTTGTTGTTTTGATACATCAAAGCCTATCGTTTAATTGAGCTGAGAATCTACTGATGCTTCTAGTAATGACAGTGTTTCCTCTACCAGGTCTTGTGTCTGTTTTGGAACGCCTTGTTGTTGAAGTCAATGAAAATAAAAGCCAAATTAAAAACGACACCCCTTCCCTAGCAGTTTCTTTTCTTGCCTGTGCGCCTCTTTGGAAATGAACAGGAGCCTTTGCTGCTCATCCAGCTGAGCAGCTGGGACTGTGACAGTGTCACCTCTGCGCGCGTACCTTTTAATCCCCACTGGTGGCTGCTTCTGTAGTCCTTGGACCAGCTCAGGGACTGTGGAGATGGTTTTGTGCTGTCTCATATTGGGCCCGTTAAGTTGTACCAGGAAGGTGTGTGCCTCCTGGCAGATTCTCCAGAGGGAAAATTCCCTCTATGAGTACTTCCCTTGAGCTGACTTCCCATTTTCTGTTGTAAGTGGCTATGTCTGTATGTCTGAATTTTGTGCTTCAGCTTCCACTCTTTGTCCGCCTGTAGTGTTGAGTCAGATGGGGCTTCACAGTAACACCGTCAGTGGCTTCTGCACAGAGCTTGTATCTGTCTCCCACAGCTTTCTGAGGTTGTGGAAGGGCTCAGGAAGGCAACAAAAGGTCTGTTAAATAAATAAATAAATAACCCACCACCCCTATGAGGATCTCTCAAGAGGAAACCTCCATTCTTCCCTGTGGGAATTAATTCCATGTTAACCATTACACAGGGAACACCTCTCTGATTTCCTTCGTTTTTGGTTGCTTTTGCTGTTGTTCTTGGCCTAAGGGCCAGAGAAGCTTCTGTCTCTGGGTATTGCTGCCTGGAGGCATCGTTCCACTCTGGGTTCTGCTCTGACAGCCAGGGGGTGCTCAAACGTGGCATTAATAAAAAAGCTAATAAGCTGCTCTCAAAGAGAGAAGCACTGCTGGGAATGCAGGAACTTGCTGTTTCAGCTGCATGCCTCCAGATGAGCTGACTGAATTGGGTAAAAGAGGATTTTGGTTTCCGTGAAACAGGTAAGCTTGAAATGTGTTTGCTGTTGATTGCAGTAGCTGTCTGCTGTGAACCATTGCTGGATTAATAACTTCTGCTTATGTTACAGCAAGGGTTTATGCGCTGACAAATCCCATGCTGCTGCTTTTCACCATCCATATATATGGACCTGCTGGAATCTTGTCTTCGGATAATGGGATAATTCCTTCACAGGTATGAAGATTTTCTTTTTTCCTTTACTACCATAACCACTGCAGCCCGTGGCTCTTTTGGCTGTGCCACTTCCCCCATCACTGGGGCTGCATGCTCAGACACGAGGTGGGTGCACCCTGGCATGCTTAGTACTTATCTAAGGCAGCTGGGCTGCTACCAACCATGACGGCATGTGAGGGAGATGCTTACATTGTCTCTTCCAACAGCCTGCAGCTGGAAATGGGGGGCTTCCATGCAGACAGAGGCCTTTTTTTTTTTTTCTCTCCTTTTTTTTTTTTCTTTTCCCCTTCTTCTCTCTTCCCCTCTTTCTTTTCCTCTCCTCCCCTTCTTCTTCTCCTTCTTTTCCGTAAATTAAAAAGAAAGAAATAGGTGGCTGCCCTGTCCCTGTCGTGCTGACCCTTTCCTTCGCATGGGTTCCGCACCGCTGCGGAGCGCTACGGTCGGGGCACCACTGCCCTCTGCCGGGGCCGCACTCGGGGCTCCCGGGGCCGCTCCTCCCACAGCAGCCGGGGACACCCCCCGCCTACTCTGAAGGCTGCAGTCCTTCACGGTTCCCCCATGCAGCATCACCCCGCAGCAACCAGGCTGAAATGCGCTCTACCTTCCCAGCCAGGAACTCCCACGGCAGCACCTGGCTCTGCAGCTCAGTGTGGGGCTCCCACGGCAGCACCCAGCTGAGCCAGTCTGGGTGGGGAGCCAGGCACCCTGCCAGGGCCCACCTGCCTGCAGCTCTGTACTGTGCACCTGCAGGGTGCTGCCACCCTGGGGCTCCCCGCCAGCTGTGTGCTTTCAGAGCTCAGCGTGGCTGTAGTGTGGTTTCGGGGTGGGAGAAGAACAAAGGGGAGAGCTGCCCCTAGCAGTGGACAGGTGCCCACTGCAGTGTGGGAATGGAGATATTTTATAAGGAGGAGAGGGGAGAGAGAGTGAGGATGGCACTACTGGGAGGTGGGCAGTACTGGCATTACAGGTGCTGGTCTCTGATTTCTTCCTGTTTTTCCTAAATGGCACCTTAGGGATTCTGCTGCTTTCTTCCTGTTTTCCTTCTGAAGTTGCTTTCGTTTGTTGGCAGGACTGTTGGGTTTTGTTTATGGTTGTTTTGTGTTGGTTGTTTTTATTTTCCCAAATCCCTCAGCAAGCGTCTGATTAATTCAGCTTCTGATTCCTTGGAAATGGCCTCTGGAGACGGCGCTGAAGATTTTTACGCATGCCATCCAACTTCTGAGCTGCATAGCCCTCAGCACTGGAATTGGGTAAGAAATGTTACAACAGATCCCAGCACTCTGCAGTTAGGAAACAAAATATTGCACAGTGCCACATGGAAAAAAAGAAATCTGATTAATTAAAGGTGTGGGTGGGTGCGCAATTGCATCAAATTATCCATGCGTCATGGCGAAATGGGAGATAAATGCATGGATATGGCGTGCCAAGGAGGCAACCAAGTGCACTGGTGTGGGAATGGGGGTGATGAGAGCTTGAGGGTCACATCCAGCATGGGATTAATGCGCAAAATGCTGGGAAGGAAGGCAGTGGTTGGGAGCTTCCAGCAGCTGTGCTGTGCATGGAAGGTGGAGGGCTGATGGTAAAAGTGGTGTCTAAACCACATGCGTGCGTTGGATTTGCTCAACTGTAACAGTGGTGACTCAGGTGGAGGGGTGGCTGGATGTGCCCCACCTTCCCTCACTGCCCCCAGGGGAAGGGAATACTGTCATCAGGCAACTGTTCAGGTAGGAATTGCGTGGTCTGGCCACAGGCAGTGGCTGTCTGGGGTTGTTACAGAGGTGCCTGAGAGGGGAGGAAACTGGCTGTAACAGAGATCCCTGCCAGGGACACCAGAAGGGAGGCAAGGACAGTGGGTGGGTATGTTGTGTCCTGTGTAAGGTGTATCCTCCTGCCGTACAGAGAGCTCTTGGGAGTGGTGAGAGCTGATTGTCTCCATCTGTGCTGCTCTGGAAGGGTATGAGCATCCCTGTTGCTATTTAAGAAGAGCAATGCTGACAGGGAAGCCAGGTGAGGCTGGTAGAAGGGTTGAACAGCTCTCTTGTGGGTAGTGGTGGAGAGCCCTGTATCCATCTGCAATGGTCTTTTGCTCCCATCAACCCAATTGATCTTCCCAAGAGAGGGGTCAGGTGCTGGAACAGCCTCCCCAGGATGGCGGTTGTGGCATGAAGCGTGCCAGAGCTCAAGAAGTGTATGGACAATGCTCTCAGACATAGGGTTTGGATTTTGGGTGGTCTTGTGTGAAGCCAAGGGGTGGACTCAATTATGATTGTGGGTCTTTTACAGTTCAGGATGTTCTATGATTCTAAGAGTGCCAGTTCATTGTGCTGCAGTGTCCTAGGGGCATGGTGACTGGTGCACGGCTGCCTAGAGGATGAAGCAAGGAGACCTGATGGATTTTTCCCAGAACAGGAAGTATTTCAGAAGAAAGCAGCACTGCTGGCAAGGATCTGCATGTTAAAGTTGAAGGCAGCAGGGAGAGCCCAAGACAGTGAGCACCAACTCCGGGTGGAGCACGGTGAGTGTAAGGCACTTCTGCTCAAGCTAGGGTTCATGGCAGACCTCAGCCTGCCCCATCCTCTCCTGCTTCCATGGGCTGCCTTGAGTAAAGGCTTCTAGTGTCATTTCACATATTGGGAATGACAGCCTCACATGGGAGCTGTTTTCAGGGCTCCAGAGAGAGTGAAAAAAGAAGAAAAGCGCAGTGGGAAGAGGAGAGGCTAAGGGCCTTCCCTGCCCGGCCCCTTGCTCAGTGGAGCTGGAGGCAGGTAAATGTCACCAGGAGACAGATGTGAAACCACGCAGCTCCTGCTGCCTCACCCGGAGCCAGAAGGGAATTTTGAAAACAAAAATAAAGGGAAAATTCGGTCTCCACCCATCCACCCGAGTTGGCCAGCAGCTCACATACAGCAATCTCGGTGCTGGCAGCACTGCTGCTGCACACTGCCAGCTCTGAGGTGTCGAAATGAAAGGAGAGGTGAACAAACAACCCCAGGTGCCTGCGAGGTGCTGGTGAGTTTTGTTTTCCCCTGTTGTGGCCTCCCCAGGAGCAGGCAGCTGTCTCTGTGTGCCAACCATGGGCTCCAGGAGACTGGGGTGGTGCAGAAATGATGGGCATTAGCTCCCACCAGTGTGCAGCTGTGATGGAGCAGGGCTGTGTGGGCCATACTCACAGTGCAGCACTTCTCTTGCAGGTAGGTGGTGAGGTGTGGGCTTCCAGTTGTGGAAACCAAAGGGAGGAGAGCTTTTTTCCTTCTTTTCTAACGTAATTCTTCCCCAAAGTGGGACGAGCCCATATTCATCTCACTGCCTGTGTTACCACAGCAAGCTGTTTTGTTTTGCCTTCTTTTCCCCAAGGTAGGACAAGGGTGTGGGCAGATGGCAAAACTTTTTTTTTTTTTCCTCCTCAGTGATGTTTTTCATCCCAGCTCCTCCAGCATCTCTCAGCCAAGGCTCAGCCCTGAGTCTCCAGGAACCAATGAAGCTGTTGGTCTCCTTTGGCTCCTGGGAAATAAAGGGGACATGCAAAAGGTTTAACTACCTCCAGGTTACCAGACAGCTCCCAGTGCTTTGGCTTCATCTGTGGATAATTGCACTTGGAGGCATCCATTCCACCTCTGATGCCACAGCCCCTGGTGTGGGGTGACTGCTCAGACTCATGCCAGTGGGTGCCAAAACCAACCCCAAGGTGAGCATCTGCATTGAACAGCACCTCATAGAGCAACAGGCACATGTACACAGAACCACTAGTTTTCAAATACTTTTAAATTCTCCTATGTTGTTTCCTTTATTTTTCCTTTCTCAGCTGTCATGCATCAGCCCTGCTCATCCAGCCTGCACTGCTGATTAAGGCCAGGAGGGGCACACTTCGATTAATAAAGAGCAGTGCTGCGAGCAACGGAGCTGAGGGTGCAGCTTTGGGGGCTCAGTCAAGGCTGGAGGAGCTCAAAGCTCTCAAACACACATCAGCCCCATATGCAAGGCCTGGTGGGGAGCTGCTTCTCCCAGGAGCTTTGGGAAGCAGCTGATAGCAGCCTGGCAGGGGAAGGAGCACCCCAAGGAGTAACATACTGCACATTCTGCATTTTTCTGTCATCTTGCATTTTTCAGAGACGGGGCTGCCCTTGGGGCAGACTGTCACCCTCACAGCCTTCAGGCCTCTCCACTCACTCTGAGAGTTAAAATCTCAGGTGCCAGGTTCCTATTGCTATTGCTGCAGAAGTTAAAGAAGTTAAAGTCCCTCTGAAGAGGGACTTTGCTGGAAGAGAATGCTGGAAAAGTGCCTCTGATTCATGGCAAACACCTGGCAGGCACTTCTGACAGCAGAGAGCAGGGTGAGGACACAGCCCTGTGTGATCAGAGCCCTTCCTCAGGCTTCAGGGCTGAGGAATCCTGTGTTTGCAGTTAAGTAAGTCCCCAAAAGCTGCACTCTCTGATGCTCCTCCAGCAGCACAATGCGCGTACAGGGCAGGGATCCTGAAATGAGCAGGCCAGGAGGAGCAACCCTCAGCAAACCCCTCTCATACTTAGGTAAAGACACACAAACCCAAATGTGGTGTCACCTTTGTTTTATTTCCTGTGGATTTAGACACAGCTCCAGTTAACACCACAGCCACAAACCAGCTCCTAGGAGCAGCACAGAGCAGGGTCAGGGGGGTCAGCATAGGTGTGATGGGGCTGGGCATATAGGGGACAATAGACTCTGTGGTTCTGCTCTTCAGCTGCCATCCACTACTCCCCAACCCCTCCTGGGGCTGTGTTAAACACAGGGATGGTAAGGAATCTTTTCCTGGGAAGCCAACCTGCTGCAGCACTTCACCAGCCTATAGGGACTGGAGGTGACATCCAAGAACCACAGCATGCCAGCAGCTTGGGGGCACTCATAGTGTTCTCCCCTGCTGGCGCAGCAGTTGAAGAGGTGGAGCAAATCAACTTTCCCTCATCTTCCACAGGGTCTTCCACAGGGTAATGGCATCTCTTCCACAGCCTGAACAACTGTTTATGCAGAGGGCAGAGCAGGGGGTAGGAACATGATGATCTTTAAGGTTCCTTCCAACCTAAGCCGTCCAATGACACTAAGCCCCTGGTTCCCTGTATCTTGCTTCTGCAATCTCCCCATGAAAAGACCACCTTGCCCCTGGCCTTGTAGCCAGTGAGAGAAAGGGACAAGACCGCAGCTGGGGATGCAAGAAGGAAGAAAGCCAAATCTCTACTGCCAGAAATGGCAGTGCTGGCTGAGGGGAGCAGAAAGGCACTGAAAAGGCACTGAGACAAAGCAGCAGGGAGCAAAACAAAGCTCCTCAGGGAGGTAAGCTCCAACCACAACCCTGGCAGTGATTTTTAGGGCAGCTCTGCTAGGTCTCTAGCCAGAGCTTGGCATAGAGAGGGAGATTCATCAGCACACCTGAGACATTTCTCTAGCAGAGCCTAAAGAGAAGCAGCTGCTTCTGGCTGAGGAAGATAAAAGGGGTCCTCTAAGGGGGTACAGCAGGGCTGAGTGGGTCCTGACTAGTGCTCAGAAAGGACAGGGAACCCCAGCAGCAAAGACAGTCTGAGCAGGAAAGGGATGAGGGGTCCCACTGCGAGCTGTGCTAAATGCAGAAAAGGCACTCCCAGAAACTCCACAATCATATTAACCTGTTAATTTATACAGCATCTCTGTACAAAAATAGAAAAGGTTCTAATAAGATTAACAATATTAAATAAATATTTAATAGAAAAAGTCTTTGGCCTAGTTCATAGCTCATCCTTTGGGTTGATGTTCATTTCACTGGGTCCTAGGTGCTCCTGGTCCAACATGGCGATCACTTCATCTGCCTGGATTCGCTCCTGCAAGCAGGGAAGGGCAGAAACCACAAAGCAGAGCTTCAGGACTCACCCAGCACAGCACACATCTCCTCCAAAGACCTTCAGTGCACAAGGAGGGCACATGTGCTGAGGATTTGCTGGGCAGAATGAATCCAAATCTCTGTTCACCTCAATGCCTAATTCCCTCCTCCCTCCCAGGTGCTGTGGTGAATGGAGCAGAGCTGCCATACTCCAGATCCCTTATCACCATCCGTCTGGCCTTGAAAAGCTCCAGGATCCACAACCTCTCTGGGCAGCCTGCATCAGTGCCTTGCTGCCGTCTCCATCAAAAATTTCCACCTAACATCGAACCTAGCTCTCCTCTCTTTTAGTTTAAAGCACTTCACCCTTGTCTTATCAGTATCTACCCAAGTAATAAGTTATCTTCCCTCCTGCTTATAAGCTCCCTTTATCACCCATGCTGCTCCCGTTCATCGGGTTATTGGCCACTAGGTGTCAGGAACGGACAGCCCCAGCCTTGCACACAGTCCTCCAGCACTCTGCTCAGCATCTCATGCAGCAACCCAGCCCAGCCTGGACAGCTGGCTGTGCCCCTGGGTACCCATCAGGGAAAACTGCTCTAGGGTCTCCTAAGAGCTCCTCTCTCCTTGTGTCCTCGTGTCCCTGGTGGGAGTGCAAATAGACACAGTGGGACTGAAGGCTAAGGATGCTCTGAGTGCCTGCCCTCTCCCTCTCACGCTGTGATGGAGAGACTCACCAGCTCTCTGTAAAGTGGGTCCAAGGTAAACCACAAAGCCACAGCACACCTCTGGCCTTTGGTAACTGCCTTCACCCCATGTGGGTTCTCACCGCCTGACGAGAAGCTGACCATTCGTCCGCACTTGGGCTTGATGGATGCCTGCAGGAAAACAGGCAATGAGGGTGGCACGCACTGGCCATGTGTGGGTTCCCTGTGGCCCAGGATTCCTGCATGGTGCAGTCTCTGAACTGACCAGGAAATGTCTCAGCAATTACCTCCTGCATTCAGCTCAGCCAGGAAAGGGCACTGACTCACCGTCACTGTTTTGGCATCCATCTCAGTGAAAATGAATTCGCCGCCTTCAAAATCTGCATTCATGTAGAGGAGGGCACTGTGAAAAGAAGGAATGCCCCGTGGAGATCACTGCTCTGGGTCTATCATCCTATCATCAGCCCTCTCTACTTCCTCTCACATCAGCCAGAACAATCTTGTCCAAACACAGCTGGTTTGGAGTCACAGCTGTTAACCAGCATATCACTCCTTGACCAGGGGACAATTCTCAGAATGTCCTAAGTCACACCAGCTTCCACCCTTCCATTTCGTACCAAAAAAGCCTCAAAGACATACAGTCCTGAAGGCCACACTGGGACCTCCCTACTCTAAAATATTGCAGAGCTATTACAGTTGAACTCCAGCTTGCAGCTTAGCCATAATGCTTGCTGCTATCAGCAAGGACCTGTTGAATGTCACTTCTGCCATCACTGGGATGCACCAGCTTTAGGATTTACAGACTTGCAGCAGCATGCTCAGACCTGGGGAGAAACCCTTCCTACCTGTAGTCCCGAAAGGTGTAGGCAGGAGGCTCCTTCCAGCACTCATTGGCCTCAGGGTCCAGAAGACAGTTGTCAGCATGGATGGGGTGGCTCAGGTCGTTCCTCCTCTCCTGCTGGCCTAGGCAGGGCCATGGGGAGGAAGGGGGGAAGAAGGGGTGGATGAAGTGGCAATGCCATGCGGTGTGAAGTCTGTCATGGAGGCAGCATGCCCTGGCCCCGCTCCAGGTGGTGTGGACAAGCAAAAGGAGCAAAGAAAATGTTGGGGAGAAGAGGCAAACCTGAGGAGTCGGATTTGCACAGCTTTGCTTGTTTGTTATTGATGGGAAGAGAGATGGAGGGCTGAGAGATAGAAAGGAGAAGGGACAGTGAGATAGAGGAAAGAGAAGAGAGAAAAGAGGAAGAGTTGGAGACACAGAGCAAGAGAAACCCCAGAAATGAGCTTCTTTAGGATAGCAGCGCCCACACTACATACGAGTGACTTTGCCCAGCTCTTGGCCATCACTTCAAGTACCAAACAGAAAGAGAGAATCCCAGACTCATGTCCCCACTTCCCATACTGTCACCCCCCACGGGGGACTCAACACCAGCCCCGTGCCACCCCCAGGGCTCACCAGAGAGAGCGGTGCGGCACACCAGGTGCGTGTAGGAGAAGTAGAGTGTGGAGTTGAGCATGAAGTAGGACTCGACGATCCTGCGGGCCTTCTCGCTGATGTCGTAGAAGAGCCGGGCGCTCTTCAGTGGGACACGGCCCTCATAGCCATACTGGGCAGGGACAAAGGGTGAGGAGTTAGGTGCTGTGCCAGCTAGAGGGAGAAGGAGAGGAGAAAAGGGAACTCTACCTTGAGGGCTTTGAGGACAGTGGCGCCTTCAAATCTCTCATTTGGGGTATGGGGAGAAGTTTTGCCCCTATAGCCATCTCCAGCCAACATGATCCCCTGCCAGGACAGACACAAACATGGGTGACTGTGAAGTAGTTCCTCAGGAGTGTGTGTGTGCATGCATGTTTATTGTGCACACTATATGCAATGGGGGGGGTGGAGGGAAAATCTGCAATGCAATCAACTCAGATCCTCTTCCCTAATCCCTCTTCCCTAATCCCCCAGGACCAGCCCAAGGAGGACCAACAGCTCCTCTGCTGGAGCTAAGGGTATATTATTAGGATAAGCATCTGAATGCTCTCCACCAGCATCACACCATTTGCAAGAGAGGATCAATGAACAAGCCCTGAAGCCACCTGTAGACAGACAGAACTCAGCTCCGACAAGACAAACGTTTGTGAGAGCATCAAAAACAGAACCCACAAGGCAGCCACATCCCCCACAGACACAACCCACTCACACTGGCCACTCTGTGAAGCTCCCGGCACTGCTCCTCTGAGATGACGTTGTCCAGTAGCACTCGTTGGGTGCCATTCAGCTGCTGTGAGTTGTAGACAAACTTCACGTCGCTGTAGAGAAGTGGACCCCCTGATGGAAAGAGAGACACAAAACAACCCTGCTGAACATGACCTGGCCTTA